CACTACTACCACCACCACCACCACCAACACGACGACGACGACGACCACTACTACTACTACTACTACTACTACTCGTAGCAATAGAGCTACTCGTAGAAGTACGTAGTAGCAGGTAGAGCTAGCAGTAGTTGTGCCATCTCTGACATTCAAGTCAGGAGGCATATGGACATAGAGGTCCCAGGTCCAATACGCGGGGTAGAGCTGCCACATGCACGTGTACATGACGAAACATGACCTGAGGGCATGGTGCACAGGAGATTGGGGCGGCGACACGAGAGAGTCAGAAGGGGCTATCGACCAATCTAAGCCTTCGGCATTGGAATGAGGCACACCAAAGCTGCCAGAAAGAAGCCCACGCTGAGGAATGTAAAGGCGAGGACAGCAACGGCGAACACAACAATTGCAGCACACGGATAGCACAATGCACCAGGGCAACAGAAGTACTTGTTGTTGTAACCAGGATTCGGCCTCAGGTTGCTTCAACTCATGTTGGATCACACCGAAGCACATACGCTTGCAGAGCAACTTTCGCGATTTTCCAGAATGAGACCAGTACCAAGCGGCTGAACCAGTGGCCAGCTTGGAATCTCATCAGCACTGTTCTGTAGCAGCTTGCGCTGCTCGCCCTTTTCGGCGTCCACTGCCATGTGGCTTTGCTACCCACTGACACCAACACCAGCTGCTTCTTGGGTCTTTGAGCCAGAAGCGGTGCCATCCGAAAACAAGTTGATGGCCTGTATCTGGGCTCACGTCCAAGCGCGGGCTCCGACAGTAGACCCAGGAAATGAACGTTGCAACAGCTACTGACAGCCTCAAGACACAGATGCACTCAACGTGGGCAACACAGCATCAAAGAACATCAAAGACGAGCACAGAAACCCACGAGCAGGATGCAGCACTCCTGCCTGGAGCTGCTCGTGGGCGCCAAGCCACAAGGCGCGCGAGCAGGATCTTTCCGTGAGGCCACGGGGGTTGGATTGGATGCCCAGATTCTTTGGGGAGGAAGCTACGCTATTCTTGTCACACAGCTGCACCTTCAAATGGTACCTTTGGCCAACCATGTCGAAAGCTTCAGCGCTCTCCGTCGCATGGCGCAAGGCTGCTGGGTGCTCCTGATTTCTCCTGGCCGTGCCTACAGCATTTTCCAAAGTATTTTCCCAAGTGGCCTTTCATCATGAGTGAGTCTTGGTTTTTGTGGCATGACATGCATCGGCGACATGTAAGTCATGGACACAAGAAGCAAGAGAAAATGGCCAGCTTGGGAGAGGGTCAGCGTATGACACACGTCACAAGCACAACTCCCGCTTCATGTCGAGTGCAGAGCAAGACTGGCGTGTGTGCAAGACTGGGCAACACTGAGGACAACACATTTCGGCCACCCCCCGGCTGTCCCATGGCTGCCAAGTACCTCGCATTACAAGTGATGCTTGGTCTTGAGCCCGTCCGATGCCACCGTGTGCAGGAAGCTGAAAGCCAGGTCAAAGCGCACGAAAACAAGCGTCATCTAAGGCACTTGAGTTGCTCGATCTTCTTGAACTCGCCACGCTTGTCGCGATCGAGAAAGTAAAAGCCACCAAACCTGACATTCCACCCACTCAAATCACCCGGAATGTGAGCATTTGGCCAAGAAGCTCGATCAGTTGGCGAGTTAGTTCATTGGTCACCTGTCGGTGAGTCTGCGAAATGACGGCTCCATGTGGCATCCTGTGTGGATATTAAACTGTCTGCTGTGTGCATTGGAAGGTCCCGGGTCATCTCTGTCTGTGACTGCTCCGACGCCCTGTTGTATCATTGTTGATCTATGCTTGGGTCATACACCATCTTGACGAACGGGACTAGGTAGTTGCGATTGCAGCCCAGCCCGTCGGAGCAGCATGCTCGGAGACTCGCAAGCCACCAAGACTATTCAGGAATCCACGCAGAGTGCACCAGCTCGGACCTGATCTCCCCATTTGTTAACCAGCGGCATCGAGGCCTTGCAGAGTGCTGCGAGGGCGCAAACACAGGAAAATGGTTCCAAGTGCCGGGCATCGTCCAAGAAAACTGTCAGTTGTTTTCCACCCGGCCTTTGCAGTCTAAACCCTTGTCAAGCTCTCTCACAGGTTGGTACGGAAAGCAAACTGGCATTTCAGGCTGTGACGGACAAAAGGTCTTCCCTGTCTTTCTCTCAACTTCACCTTCGATTGCCCTGGCAGTCTGGCTTCAAAGTGAGAAAGCTCAGTGAAGCTTGTCAAAGCACAGGACCCGCCTTTGCAAGCCAAGTGGTGTGGTGGCCTGGCATGTGAAGGATGCCGCGGTTCGCAGCAGCCACTGCTGCTGTCTGTACATGGATCAGTACGTTGGTTTCCAGGAACTCGATCATGGCTCCAATGTTCCGCACGAAGCAAGCCCTGCTATCCCGGTATCGGTCGGCACGAGTTGCAAATATCATGAACTATCCCCATCACCACATGTCCGGCTACCGAAAGTTATAGTAAGATGCCCAGAACTGGGCAGTCTCAAAACTGGCTTGGCTTGACTTGGCCGCAGGTCCGATCTTGTTTCGGGTTCTGATCGTACTTGTGATCATCTGGGGGCTGTTTGCAATAGTGCTAGCACATACAAATCAACAATAACCTACAGCATGCGCTTTTGCAACTTGCACTCGCTCAACGCAGGCAATCAAGGCCTCAGACAAGTTCTCTCCGGTTTAGTGTTCTCTGCAGCCTTGCCATCTGTGCAATGACACCGATCAGCATGTTTCTCAGTGCCCGTACTCATAGTAAGATCGTAACGATGAAACATGCGCAGGTGATTAAATGACTACTGCTAACTCGCCTGCAAGCTGCTACAGTAGCTGCAGTCAACAAGAAGACTCAAGCCTACGTGCGATCCAGGTTCAAAATCGCAGTGGCCTTGCCCTTGCCGTTACAGAGCACTGGATCAGCTCCCGGGCTGCAACCACTTCGTCTTCTCACGGCGTTAAGGCACAATAGTCGAATTGCTTCGTTGCACGCTTTTTGAAATGATCACAACAGTCACCTCTCTTCCGCGTTGGTCCCCCCGAACATCTTGGCTGCACTAGAAAGTCGAACTTTCGCCCCTTCCAATAATCCAGGAACCCAGCTATGGCATTGTTGGAGCTGCGCCGTCACTTGCTACCAACTTCAAGACGCAAGCCCCCTTTCAGCCGCCTCTGACACTTACAGGGACGCTCGACACGTCTGCCTGTCAGCTCTGCCTGCTCCACTGCTCTACCAGCATTCAAAAGTGACAAATGATCAACAAATGACCACAGAAGTCACAAGTCACAACGAAAGATCATGTTGAGGACCGTCTCTACCAGTCGCCCACATGCTAGACTACCTCGAGCCAACAAAAATCTCTTGGCAGCAGAGCTCGTCCATTGCTCGTGTTCCCGGTCCAAGATCAAGCCATTTCACAACCAGAAGCCCCCTTCTGCAACAAGGGGCAGCATGTTTGACGTGAGAACATCCATTTTGCAAGCGGATGATATGAGAACTCGCATGTTACAACTGTACGACCTGAGAAAACACACTTTGCAGCTGGTCTCTGTTACGTCGCTCCCTGTCCCTCTTGGGTGTTTAAGAATTACTTTGAGGACGAAATGGAACCTTACACTTCAGGGCCTGCTATTCTATACTGTATTACGCAAAGTGACCCAAATACTTTTCTAGGGTTCGCGATCGCAATGATCATAGTAGCGATATTTACCATGATAAAACTGATCATATATGATAATCATAGAAGTAAACATAGTAGTATTACTGGTAGTAGTATATAGTAGTAGTAGTAGTAGTAGTAGTAGCAGCAGCAGCTGCAGTAGTAGTAGTAGTAGTAGCAGCAGCAGCAGCAGCAGGAGCAGCAGCAGCAGCAGCAGCAGCAGGAGTAGTAGTAGTA